TTGATCCAAGTAATGATCTTTGCATTGTTTGCTTTCCATGCATCTATCGAAGTAGTATCTCCTTCTTCAGTATTCTTAGGTACCACATAAGTTTCACTGACATATCCATACATCTTTTTACCCTTAACAAAATTTATCATTACATAGCTCCAATACAAATAGTTCTTCCCATCCAACCTCATACTCACAGACTAAAGCGAATCATCTCTTTCTGTAGCCATAATCAATAATCACAAAGAATCAGAATGCAAAAGCAGCAAAAAACAAAATACCAAATTGCAGAAACTGAACAGAGATTACAGAACTAAACAAATATCTTCTCAAAATTATATGATTACTCCAAAACACAAAATAAATTTGTAGAAACTAAACGCAAATACTAAATTGCAGAAGCTGAATGGAAGATGAAATATCAAAATAATTGCAGACACTAACGAAATACCAAATAGTTGGATCCGTGAAATTGTGTTCGGGATTAAGCCTCGTTTCATAAAATCAGCTCTGATACTATATTGAAATAATTAAGATCAAACATAAAAGAGATAATAGAATTCTAAATAATCTATATATTATAAATGCTTAGCATTAATCTAAATACATATAAAATATATATAGGTTAAATTAAAAGTATTATTCTACCCTTAATAAATAAGACTACATAAATATTATTTAACAAAAAAACCAAACCCATATTGGTTTTTGTTATTTAAAACAAATAAAAAACATAATAAGTTATGAAAAAGATGGATAGCATCATACTTATTTTCATCATCCAAGTTCAAAGATTCAAAGAAATACATCTTCTTCCTATATAATGTCGGCCACACACCAGTTTGAAGTACAAAGACTCCTCTCAAACTCCCAACAACAAAGTCAAAAGAACCAAACCCATTTTGGTTTTTGTTATTTAAAACAAATCAAAAGCATGGAAATTAAGTTATGTAAAAGATCGATAGCATCATACTTATTTTCATCATCCAAGTTCAGTTCCGCTGCTCCTGCTGCATTCCTAACTATGACTTTGTCAAAAAGTTGACAAATTGTAAAAGCTCTTCAGTTCCAGATTTTCTTGCTCATGCATCGTCAAAACTACTGCTTTTCAAGTCCACCAACAGAGAAGTCTGTTTGCTCCTACACTTCGATGTATGTATCTCATCTTTTTTCTGTTCTTCTTCAAGGGTTGTTTTCTTAAGGCAATTTTTGCCTTTGTTTATTGCATATAATATTG